AGGATTTTCCAATCAAGAGCAGTAATGGTTGCGTCTATATCTCCTTGCGGTGCTGGGTTGAATACAACCGGACACGCAAGATCTTTTACTGCTTCTAAGCCTTCTGCATCTCCGCAACGTACGCATTCTTGCGCAATTGAGGTCCACATGCTCCTTCTACTCCGCGTAACGGCAGCTGCCGAGTCGCCCTCCTCCCCGGGGCTTCCCAGGCCCCCCTGCGGAGCGRCCTCTACCGGGTCGCTTCCGGCCTCGCTAGGAGGACGACATGGCGACTGCAGCGGAAATGGTGGCGGCGCGGAAGACCGCAACACCGGTGGAACAGACGGCTGCGTAGGCCCCAAACCTCCAGATACGGAGTCGGGCCCACTAGGCTCTGGGCTYGCGGAGGGTGGCAGCCTGACGGAGCACGCGGTAGGGGGTAAAGGACAATCGGAATGACTAGGGTCTGATTTTAAATCCCCCTCCTGCGTGATGTTAATTTGTTGGGCCGCTTTCCTTTCTGCCTGGAATTTAAATATTTCACCCATAACCACTGTATATAGTTTCCCCATTCTTACGGCTGTCTCATCATCACACGATAAAGCATCCCAAATTTTGTTGGAGAGCTTTCTCCACTCCGCTACTCTGAATACAGTAGCCGGATCTGTAAAACRTCCTTGATTATATGCGTAACTTATYAATTCTGGGATCTCCCTATGAAGGTCTAATCCCCTGGCTCCTCGCTTTTCTAAAAAACTTATAAGCAACTGAGCCACCTGCCTATCCATATTAAACCCCCCAAGYGCTGYAGCAATTCTTACCAAGGCTTCCGCGGCGACGCCGTCGGCCGGTTGCTTCCTTGCGATGCTCCCGAATCACGGTACCGAAAATATTCCGCCGGCACTTCTACGTCTCCAACTCCAGAGACCCGAGCTCCTCAAATTCCGTCTCCAAATCCAGAGACACGAGCTCCCCAAATTCCGTCTCCAATTCCAGAGACCCGAGCTCCCTTAACTTCCGTCTCCAAATCCAGAGACCTGAGCTCGTTAAAATCCCGTCTCCAATTCCAGAGACCCGAGCTCCCTTAACTTCCGTCTCCAAATCCAGAGACCTGAGCTCGTTAAAATCCGTCAGCCGAGTCTTCTTCCGGAACACTCGGGGCCGGTGCCGCTATGGCACTTTGCCGTCCCGAAATACTTTTTCTTCGGGCGTGACGATTTAACGTCCCCTTGCCGTGACCTTCCGGCCTCACGACCTGCGTGCCCGCCGTCCCAATCCAAATCGGAGTGGTCCCGTTCGGGTTGGCGTTGTCCTGATTTGTCGGACACCAAACGCGCCGATGTTCACCAATCTGCTGGACCCCTATCATGTCGGTGGTCACCAATTTGTTGGCGCGGCCATTTGCAAGGAGACGGGGAGAGACACATAAACGACCTCGTAGACTTGGTTGTACGTGCTATCTCRTCCRCTTTATTAACGGAAGCCGAGGCTTTTTATACCCTTGGCTCGTAATGGCGGCGGCAGTTAGACGTAACGCTTTTTGTAACAGGAATAAGGGTAACTTAACATACAGAAGCTCTTACTAACGCTCTAAATTTCCTTATATGGTAGCTCTGCCGTTGCAGGGGGCTCGTGCTGACTACCCTCACCATAGGGTTATATTGTGGCTTCTCACGGCCTCGCGGGCRCTCGAGATAGACCYGACTGGAACTGTTACAGCGCCTGCCGGCTGTCGGCCAACGGTGGAACCGAATGTTCCAGATCCTTCACGGACCTTCTCTGCCCTTACCAGGCCTAGGCCCCATAACGGCTTACCACACAGGAGTTGGACTTAATGATCTTGACGGATCCTTTCTGACTCAGGATATTCTATGGTTATAAATAGTTTTATGGTGTTCCTATTTTGCTGTTAAAACTTAAGGTTAGGAAAATTGGATACAGCATTCTCACATCAAACAAGTGGTGGATAATCCATCAGTTGTGCAATAACTGACTTCTGAGAATCCTTTTCTGAATTGGTAATTATTTGAGCACTTGTGCACAAGATTCAATAATATTGTACTCTGCTCTATGACAATCATCCTAGCCTTAATTCTTCAGTGTTTGTTACTTGTGATAATATGGTATGTAAGGGTAGTGGTTAAATGTCTTGAAAGCTTTTTCCTTTTCCTTTTAATGTATGGTGTGCTTAATTAAAAGAAAGTGAAAACTGTTGAGGTCTATACCTAATGCAGGTAGCTTGGTGTGCAAGTTATAGCTTTTGGGGAAAAGGTGAGAGCCCCAGGCATTAAGACATGATCTGGGGCAGACCATTTGAGTAAAAAAGGGCATGGGGACCTGAGCCATCTCTGGTAGGGTGAGGAGGGTTAGAGTGGCTGGTCACCCAGAGACTCTTGTAGGAGCCAATGAAGGATGAGAAGACCTCAGAATAAATACCAGTGTTGAAATGGGTGCATAGACGATAAGGGTATTAAAATCCTGGGATTGATTTTATGGGATACTTCCCTGGATGCATCCCACTTCAGCTGTTACAATGTTGAGAACCATGGGAGCCAGACATGCTATAGGAAACCTGGGGACAAACTGGTCACGGAAATTTTGTCTGACTACGACATTGCAGTGTATGTAGTGAGTCAAGTAGGGCAATATCAATTTGCCAGAGCTGTTCTCTGCAAAGAGGCTTCAGTCCCAACAATGAAAGTCTTGGATGGCTGGAGTGTAAGGGGCTCCTTAACCATTGTCCAGAGGACAGAAACAGCCATAACAAGTCCTTGAATAATAAAAATGTATTGATGTTGCATTTATTTCTGCTGTTGTTGTGTAGTCATTATTTAGCTTTGGACTACCTGATGTGAAAAGTAATATTTCTTGCTATTGCATCACAAACCTCAACACAGAATGTCAAGGCTACCTTTAACTCTGGGTAAATATAGTTCTTCCACATTAGGTAGCTGCTGACATTTTAGAGCAAAGAATATGGAGTTTTCCTGACTGCCTGCGAAACAGTCAGAAAATAATTACGGAATGGAGAAAATAGATGAGGATTATTGCTAATCTTCTGTTGTTGTACCACTTAAAGTTTGTGAAAATAAGATATTTAAGACAGCCAGCAAAAAATGTTCTGCCAGCTCCTGTCCATAGCAGCAGATTTTGCTGCTTCTGAGAGGATAGTTTTTGTGATTTATTCTCATGGGATAACAGCTCTTCTGGTTTGTTTCCTCTTGTGTACTTAATATATATTGCATCAAAAAGTTACCCTCAATCCATGTATTATGTCCACTAAATAATTGATATACAAGTTGGGAAAATACTACAAAATTTTACCGGTATAATCCCTAATTAAAACTAGTTTCTGGCTTCAGAGATACCCCATTTTCCAGTTTTTAAAAAAATTTTGCATATTGTTACAAAGCCCTTGGAGAACCACTACTAGCAGAATTGGTTTGTATTACTAGGTTGGAATATAGTAAGACTAATGCTTGCTGCACCTCTGTTGTGGGAAGTCTGAAATTAAATAACCTAATTTCATCAGCTAATAATAATTTCTGTACTTAACTGTTTTTATTGAAACAGGGTCTGCTAGAAGTCATGAATCATTCTATAATACCTGAAGTTTAGAATATGACAGAGATGTTAATTATGGTAGTATTGCTGGGATTTTCAGAAGTGCCTAATTTATTCAGAAACTCTTAGGAAATATTTGAAAATATGAAGCACACACTTAACAAAATTTAAGTCATATACTCTTTTCCAGAGGCAGGGAGGACATATGACTGAATTATGCTACCTGTACTTTGTCAGTGGAACTAGATTTACAAATAAGGATGGATTCTCTGAATGACATGCTAGAGCCACTTGATGGCACTTCTAGATATATATAAAAAATAATACATGGAAATCAGCATTTAAATATCTACTGTGAGAAGCTGAAGTTTTGACAAAAATAAATATATTTTCTGGCAGTAGTCCTGAAGTAACCTCTTTTATCTATAATTTAACTACTTTTAACTGTAGTCTAAGAATGTCAGTGATGAGTATTGTATTGATGTGATACTCTGTTTTTTAGCGAGTTGTTTGGTTAAAGAGCCACATCAACACATAGTAAGCTACAACCTAAGTGTGATGCGGAGAGGATGTTTTTCTAGAGGTTTGAAGCTTCATGTTCTGTAATAAAATATTTTTATTCGAAGTATCACAGTTTTGCATTTGGAATGACACTAATATTTGTGCTTATTTCCACTTTGAACTTTTTTCAGGTTTTCAGGCTTAATCCCAAAATGTAGTCATGCAAAGGTAAAGTGATAGCAGACCACTTTGGTTTTTCAGAATTCTGACACACTGGGCAATAAGTCTATGGATTTGTTTTCCTTCTCACTCTGTTTTTTCAGGGTCTAAATCACATAACTGCTTTTGGAGTACTGTTATCAGTGCGCTGACCGGCAACCTCAAGGAAAGGCCAAAGCTGGCTATTATCAATGACCCTAGACCTCCCGAGGAAATCTTAGCAGATGAACTACCACCAGTGGACAGTCCTGAGGCATTGGTGAAAGCATCTTTCAGGTCTGATTGACATGAGTTTACTTCATTTATTTTTGAGAGGATATATTTTTAAGATTAAATCTGCAGTGTGGGTGTGGTGGCAGAAATGGATACTGACAGATTCTGTAATGCTGCATATTTTTGTACTGAAGAGTATAAAAAGAAATCCGTAAATAATGTTGACTGGCTTTGTCCTTCATTTCTTAGACTTCATTAGGCTCCCTAAAAGAATGTTTACTAGGCAGAAAATCTGTAACAAGTCAAAATAATCAGCAAAGACAGCTCATTTTATGAAGATGTCTTTGAAGGCTGGTATTGTTTCATTGAATGTTGGCATTGCTTCATCTGAAAGTGATTTAATAATAAATAATTGCACTTCAGGTCAAATGATGTGCTTCATTGATGCAAGGGTGAGTTAGAGTTTTTCCTATCGATGTAGTATCTTGAGAACTGGCTAGCATTAATATGAAGCAGAAGGACTCTGACCAAAGTATTGCAAAAACTGATTTCTGCTGTTTTAGAGTCATATATCTATCTTTTWAAAAAGTGTGATAGATATATATCGTTGTGTTTTCCACTTTTGTTATGTAATGCTGTCGATGTACAATTGCCATATATTTCTTGGAAACATGTTATCTGAAAATTGTTCTCTCAAAGTGAGGTAAAACAGAGAAGCCATAGGCCATACAATGGATCTTTGACTGAAATGTGAAAATTGGTGTGCCCAGAAAAAGCAAAGTGAGTGGGAGAATTGGTTTTTCAAAATGTTTTTTCAGCTTATTTTTGGTTTTTGGAAAACTGTGCTCTACTTTTATATTAAACATGCATGTGTTTAAAAAAAATGTTTTGATTTGGAGGATTTTTTCTGACTAGAGTGATTTTGATTATACCTGAGTCTGTCAAACTTGTTTCACTCTTCATAAAAACAGTATRTTGAAGGTAGTTGATTGAGTCATTATATTATGTAATAATTTCAGATATTTGTTATATTCAAATATATAATTTCAGATATTGTTATATTCATAACTGCTTGTTGTTTAAAAGAATAATACCATAAAGTGAATTTCATAGTGGATTTTCATTCTTTAATATTCACATTTAAATGATCCAAGACAAGTGTTTCAGAGCCTGGACTCCCCTTTTATGATGGCCTATGGTATTTAATGGCTTTTAAACACTTTGTATCTCTGATTGGTTTGTTTGCTTGATATTATCATGCTAATTGAGACTTAGAAGCAGCATCTTAGAATGATGGGTTGATTCACTGGGGTCTTCTGCATGTCATGATCTTTAAGCCTTTCCTTGACTGTTTTGTCTGAATGCCATTGATTGACTGGTAGGCATCAGCTTTCCTTGTTTCTTATTTACTAAACATTAGGAGAAGATCTTTCTCCCCTGGTGGCTTTTGGAGAAAAAAATGTTCTTTACAAGTTGTCCAGTCTAGCATGGCTAAATTAAGAATCTGGTGAGTAAATGTTGTGGTAGGAATTGGGGTGATGTTTGGCTTAGAYGAACTAGTTTTACAGAAAGAAGAACAAAGCCTATTTTTTCAATGATACTGCGAAAAACTGTGAAATGCAGCAATTCCCTTACTGCATCTGATTTGCTGCTGCTAAAGCACTATATGACAACACTATTCCTTTTATGCAGCTAGGAAAATGTCTATCCAATGGTAAATGAGTCACACTTCCTTGTGATTTTGTATCTTTTACATGACTACATATAAGCAGCATGAAATCCCAGTCACCACATCTTGTATTAGGTCCTGTTTTCTACTGTGTAATTGCTCTTCTGTAGCTTGGAAAATCAAGAAGGATCAATTTTTAATTTTGTTTACATCTAGATTTGAGCTTGAAGAACATTTAAATGTAAAAGGATGAATGTGTTTTTTTTTTCAATCTTTTTAGGTATACCTTTCCTGCAGTAATAATCCATTGTAATCCAGATGTAAAGCAAAACTGAAATGAAACCAACCCTCTCTTTACATCCCAAATACACATGATGCATGATCTTTTCATAATTTAAAAATGTTTTGATGGTCTTGATGTTTTCTATAATCATTTTACAATGTCTTTTTTGAAAGAGATTGTAATATGTACTTGTTTGATGTAATGCACTGAGTTAACAGTTACAAGTTATTTTGAGTCCTGACTGGTTATACCACTGCAGTGTTTAAAATACAGATTTCATAATCCCTTGTCACTGACATTTAGACTATCAAAGACAGTAGATATCTGAGTTTGAATTACTTTTGAAAATACAGTTGAATTGTTGTAGTTTATCCATTTTTACAAGGGAAATAAGGTAATTGGAGACATAGAAGTGATTAGCTTCTTGGTCCACTCTTAATGCAACCAATACAACACATTATTTTCTTCACACAAATATGGAAGTTCACTACAACAGGAGCTATCGTCATTGTATATTTCAACAGCTGTGCAAGGCTGTGAATTGATGCCCAGGAATATTTAGTGGTGGCCATATGGATTTTTCAGGGCTGTGTGATTTGGATATTGGCTGGATATGTCAGTGGTTGCCAACACTGAAGTCTGTAACATTCTTCCTAAATCTGCTCTCTGATCTGCAAGATCCCTCTAATGAGAAGTAGTGCAGTATCTATAAGAATTAACAGTACTTAATGAGCTGTTAAGGAAGCTGTGTAACAACTTTATAGGCTGCTTTAACTTGTGTATGCTAATCCTTGGAAGCACTACCCAAGCAGACAGTTTGATAATGCTGGGCTGGCACCCACCAGGAGGAGCAGAGAAACAAAACCATTTTGGATGCTGTTCTACAAATGCCACCTAGAAGTGTGCAAAATCTTTATGTTAGATGATGCAAGAGAAACTGCTGCTTTCGTCCCCCAGACTACTGCCTGGATGAATCAAGGGTTCACAATTGGGTGCTTCAGCTGAAAATTTCATGTGTCCAAGATGACATGATTTCTCTTAGACTTGTTTTGATGTATAGGACATATTCAGTGCTATTTTCAGTCTGGAGACCTGAAACACTGCATTGAGAAATATGGCTGGAGTTGTGCTTACAGGATATAAAGACTGTGCAGGAACTTGTGATAGGAGATACCATAGCACAAGCAGAGTGAGACACCCAGGGCAAAATTAATATGCTCATCTGTAAAAAACTAAACCATATTCAGGGCAGCCTTCCATCTTGGTCCAGGGCTTGCATGGACAGGTAAAGTTGGTCTGGAATCTCGGAGTTGTTCAGCTGGCTCTATCTAGCACTTGGGGCCTTTGAGTGGCAACATTAGAGATAAATCAGGGTAGCAGGCCTCAGGTGAGGCAAAGACCATCTGTCCCATTCCAGACAAGCTTTATTGGATAACTGTGCAGATATGCTGTACCAGGACATGATGCATATTTTCTGTTACCAAGGCCATAAGACCTGGGAACCAGAAAGGCAGGTTCAATTCCTTCAATGTCAGACTGTTTTTCAGCTCAAGGCTTGCAAGTGTTCTTAATTTCTGTTACCTTTCAATATAGTTCCAGTTTTCAACTTGAGGCTTTGTAACAGCCTCGCTCACCTGGCTTTTCATATGCCGGGTGCAAAGTTTGTCTTTCCAAGGACAGTTTGTTTTTGTTTATCAGTGTCTGTTCTGCTTTATGATTTTAAATCTCACTGGTAGCAAATCCTTTCATATTTTAGGTTTAGTTGTGGGTGATGTAAACGCTTGCTCCTGCCATCTTGTGGTCACTTGGTCTACAGCATAGAGGTGGTACTGCAGCGCTCCAAATGTAAAAGCTTCAGTCATAACACTACATGTTAGGAGTCAGCCTATGAGCCTCAAACGTGACTATACCAATGCAAACCGAGGGAGCTTGAAGCCACCCGGTTGTTAGAAAGCATGACCTCACTGTCATTACTGGAACTTGGTGGGATGAATCCTGTGACTGGAGTATTGCTATTGATTGCTGCAGATGGTTCAGAAGGAACTGGAGAGGAAGAAGAGGCAGAGGGGTTATCGTCTACATCAAAAGACAGGATGTAAAGACTCTCTCTGAGGAACAGCCATGAGATGGCCTAAAGCATATGGGTAAAATTAGAGATTGAGTCAACAAAAGGAACATTGTTGTTGGTGTCTACTACGGCCTGCCTGATCAAGGGGATCCTGTTGATAGGATTCTTGTCCAGCTGCAGGAGGCATCACACTCACAGGCTCTCATCATTCTGGGGGACTTCAGCCACCCTGACATCTGCTGGAAAAGTAGCACAGAGAGCCCTAGGCAATCCAGGACACTCCTGGAATGCAGGGAGGATAACTTCTTAAGTCAGGTAATGGTCCTACCAGAGAGATTTTGATAGTATGCCTGATGGCCACCAATGCAAGTCAGTTATTGGTTATATCAAGTATGGAGTCACTGGGCTGCAGTGATTGTGTACTGGTGGAGTCTGCAGTCCTGAGGGATATGGGTCAGGGTTAAGTCAGGACCCTGGAATTTAGGAAAGAAAACTTCAAGCTCTTTAAAAAGCTAGTCAATAGGCTCACTCAGGATACTGCTCTCAGGGAAAAGGGATTGAAATAGAGTTGGCAGATCTTTTAACAGTGCTTTCTATAGATCTCAAGAGCACAAGAAACCTGAGCCAGGAAGGCAAGAGGCAAACATGGCTGAGTCAGGACCTGCTGGTCACACTAAACAGCAAGGAGCATGTGCACAGGCAGGGAAAGTAAGGACAGGCTTCCTGGGAACAATACAGGGATACAGCCCAGTTTTGTAGGGACGAGGTGAGGAAGGCCAAAGGTGAGGCTAGATCTGAACTTGGCCAAGCAAAGAATAACAAGAAGAGCTTCTACAAGTATGACAGACAGAAAAGAAAGGTCAAAGAAGATGACAAGCAAGGTTGGCAGACTGATAACACTGGACAAAGCAAAGGCTGAGGCACTCAAAAACTTTTTTGTCTCAGGTCTCAGCAGCAACCTCTCTCTTCTCCCACATCTCTTGAATGGATGAACTATTAGATGGAGACTGGGGAAGGAAACTGTTTCCCACAGTAAGTGAAGA